CTGAAGTGACCTTCTACCACTATTTACTTATTCAAACCTTTGTTCTCTAGTCACACAGGACTCTGCACACTACAGGTGACAGGAGTTACTGCCAACATCAGTACTAACCACATCTGTCCTAAAATTTCTTTTGTAAAACTTTCAGATTATGCAGGTATTAACAGAGCCAGGTCAGCTAAAGCCTTGTGCAACCTGCCCTGGTGGGAGGACCAGAGAAAGCTTTGGAGCAAGTCTGTAGGAATTCTTGACTTCCCAAATGTCACTAGCCACTGGTTTATATCTCTACCTGTTGTCTGGTTTTGGGTTTGACTTTTTCCTTACACCAGGATGGTCCCTCATGCCACAGGATATTAAACTCTTCTCCTTGACTTATCACAAGTCAAACCAACTATAATCACTTTTACTCCTTCCGAGTATTCCCAGCTCCCTCTCCTACTGTCAGCAGTAGAGAAGATGTAGTTTCCCAGGCTGTTTTCACACTTAATCTAAACACTACCAAGAGGTCTCTGTGGCAGAAGACTAGATAACAACTATTTCCACACAAGGAGTTTTCTGTCCCCCTGAGAACAATCCAACAAGAAACAGCCATTTCCCCAATTCCACACAGCCGATTACCTGGGAAAACATCATCATTCAGGAGGAAAACAAGACTTGGAAAAAGTTTTCATCACAATTAGTGCATTACCCCTACGATCTGAGCTACATTAATATGCTCTTCCTAACTTTACCTCACTGCAACAGAGAATGTTGTAATAAATCAATCAGTTTCTCTCTCCCTTGGTCTCCACACCTCTGCCAGGAAACTAGAATAAACATGTTATTAAACCAGCAATCAATAGGAAGTTTTAAAATATACACTAGCCCAGAAAGGTCAAGGCCTAGTATTGATTTTAATATAACAATTTGGGTGTGCAGTTTCCCAAAGGTTCTTCTCTAATCTTGTTCTTCATTCTTCTCCCACTTTACCTTTTCGCTGGTCAATTTGTTGTTCTCCCCTGCACAAACTGCTCCAGGTTTACTAAGAGCTTGTCGTGTATGCAATGTGCTGCTGAAACATGATGAAACAAGGTTGGGGGAAGCACTTGGACGCATGAGAGCATCACACAGGCTGAGATCTACAGCTCAAGGCAGATGGGAGACACTGACACAGCCCTGAGCTGCAGGCAACGTGTCTAGTCTGAATCTTCAGCTTCTCAACAGCAGCTGTACAATGCTCAGAGCTAGTCCTGACCATCTCCCACCTCTGCCATGCCTTAAACAATTTCAGAGCAGACCTGGCACCTGAAGGGTCACCAAACCAAACCAAAGGCTGCTTTTAAGCCTTTCTCTGCCTTGAAATTCCCATTTACAGTAGCAGTTTTCCTTTAAGAAACAAATGAAATCACAGTCATACATGGTCGAGCTGCACAGGGACAGACACTTGGCACAACAACAAACTCACAGGCACAAATACATCAAAGACTTGCACAAAATACACTTCCTGCACTCCTGCAGGGACTGTCATGCTCAGCACTTTGCAAAAACACCTCGTTCTACACATAATTAATATTTGCCATGTGCCAAATCACATTTCCAAAGTATAAACTAGGAAACACTTGCCAAGCAAGAGACTGAAAACCTCCAAATATAATTAGCCTAAGCTAAATGATTAGCAAAGTAAGACTGAAATTTCCCTGATTTCCAAGGGAGAAGAAAAAAAAAGGCAAATCATCATTCATGCATGTTCAATTTCCATGGGAAATCACATCCATCATTTGCCCCTGAAGTATTGGTTTGGATATTTTCGTGGAGGAATTCAGAAGTCTGATGAGGTTGACAGGAGTTAAAATCTGATCATTATGCTGATGATAGAAGTTGCTCATTTTGCTTTCTCAAAACACCTTTTCCTCTGTGTAAGCAACATCAGAAAAACTCTTCATAAAGAGATTTATTGAGCCACTTCAGTTCAGCATTGCAAACCCTAAGAAATTAACAGCTTTAGACTCAATGACAAAGTTAGTGCATGTAGTAAATAAACTTCCATTCAGTTCAGAAAATAAAGATGGATTTCCCCCAAGCCTGTTCTCCACAGCCTTAACATGAAAAGTTTACTCATAGACCTATTGGGAAGTAAGGAAAAAATGCTTTATGTACGACAAGGTAAAGTCCTGTCGAATAAGAGCTGTAACTGGTGGATTAACAGCATTCAAACAACTCTAGAGTAATTCTTCAGCTCTGATCCCAGAAATAAGCACAGATTTTAACTTCCCATAGTAAGAGGTAAGGGTAGCCCATCTGGACTGTCTATGTGTGAATAAATAATTTATAGAGGAGTTAAAATTAAAACTCCTTTCACACTCTGAAATGAGTGAAATACATTTTGCAATCAAATCAAAATGTGGCCACACACTGCACACACAAACAGCACTGAAATCAGCTATTAGGCAGTTGGAATCAGACAACAAACACTTCCAAGTTTCAGAGATTATTTACTCCATCCCTGGGAGTGTTCCAGGCCAGGTTGAATGGGGCTTGGAGCAACCTGGGCTGGTGGGAGGTGTCCCTGCCCAGGGCAGGGGGTGAGACTAGAAGGTCTTTAAAGTCCCTCCAACCCATTCTGTGCTATAATATTTCACTTAAATATTGGGAAAAAAACCTGAGAAAGGATTCAAAACACACCATAGGTGGCAAAACAATCTCTGAAGATGAATGGGGAAGTAAAAGAACTTGAATTTTGTGGCACATAGTATCAACAAGTGCCTTAAAAAGCAGAGGGTTAGCACATGAAATTGTTAATGAATCAGAAGTGTAAGGTCAAGGAGCTTCAGTGTAGCACAGTAGGAACTCCAGTTTTTGTTCTGTTTTCCATCAAGGTGTTTGCAATTGGATTACAAACCAGGACAGCTGAGAGTCATCTGTTCCTTCCTATGTGTATCTGGTACATGCAAGACAAAATCATTCACCTGGCTAATCACAGAATCATAGAATCATCAAGGCTGGAGGAGACCTCTAAAATCAAGTCCAACCACTAACCTGTCACTGCTGGAACCCCCAAACACTAAACCAGATCCTCCAGTGCCACATCCAGACACCTCTGAAACACCTCCAGGGATTGTGCTTGGATGTTTTTAAAGCACAAGCCTTAACCAGAATTCAGCCCATAAAGATCTTAAGTAATACCTGAGGAAACATCTGCATCTTTTAAAGCTGTTCCACCCAAGATGAAAAGAGCTTCGACACTGGCTAAAATAGACCTTTATAACTGTCTAAAAATGATGACAGAAAGTCATTGCCATGGCTAAAATAGTTGAAACCACTCAAACCAGTGTAATAACTCAAAACTAGAAAAGGATTAATGCTGGTCATGAGACTTGATATTGGTCTTTGTTATCATCATTATTGTTTTGATACTTCACATTCCACACAGATTCTCCAACCTCATTTTAAGACAACAAAAGGATGTTCTGGGATCCTTTCAATATGCAACACCTTCCACACCAAGTCAAATAAAGGGAAGGCTGCCCTAATATTCCCTACAAAACATCCCATCAGGCATAGGCCAAGGCAATCTCCTCCCTCCCTTTCACAGAGAGTTGAGAACTGAATTATGGAACACTTAATAGAAGCTCCTGGAACGTGTCAAGGGACAAAACGCTGAAGTTGCAAACCAAACCTTTCCCTCCTGTGATCACACTTAGCTCAACTCTTGAGCAATCAACATGAAGCTCAAACACAGCCCAAGTTTTCCTGTCAAAGCTCAGTCTAGGGCAAGAGATTTCACTGTAACGTATTGATTTCCTTTATTGCTGATGCAAAAAAAAGAGAAAAGTCTGATTTTTTTCTTTCCTGGGACATTTATAGAGTCATATCTAATTATATCCTCCATCACCCTTAAGTCAATTAAATAATACTACAATGATGTGTAGGAAACAAGTGAGATCTGTGCAGACAGTTTAAGCAGTACTAATTGCAATCTAATTTGCTTTAATCCATCATAATGAGCCTTTTTTCCCATTCTCACTGTGGAGGACAATGTGGAAGTTAATGTTTATATTCAGTGTGGCAGATTATCTGTTTGGGAGAATCACTGAAGGTATAAATAAACTCACAAGAGCAATGAGCTCACCAGAGCCAAACTCTAGCTCAGGTTTAAAGGGGAATTTTTAAGTGTTAATAATGACTCTGCCCAAATTTCAGCCACTACAATGTCTTAAAAAAGCTAAGAAAGGAATGTTTTGCTATTCAGAAAGGACAGCAAAAGGGTTTTCAACCAGTAAACTGGTGGAATACAGTACACACTGCACCTTCCCAACATGACACTCTGCTAATAAAGCTTCTGAAAACATCCTGCAGCTCACAGAAACCTCCAGAATTCACAGAAATTACAAGAATTATCATTTCTACTGCTGTGAAAATCATAGGATCAGCAAGGTTGGAAGAGAACTCTAAGCTCATCACGTCCAACCATTAACCTGTCACTGCTGGAACCCCCAAACCAGATCCTCCAGTGTCACACTGACACCAGGGATGGTGACTCCACCACCTCCCTGGGCAATATCCCAGTGCCTCAACACCCTCACAGGGAAAACATTTCTCCTCACATCTAATCTGAATCTCAAAAAGCATTATCATTTCTACTGCTGTCAAGATGTACCTTCTGAGCCACCAGAGGGTTCTAAGGACCCAACTCTAACTGTTCTACTTCTGTCTCTGCACCACAAAGTGATTACTTGGACGCCAGAGAAATCAGCAAAGACTGAGCTTAAAAGACTGCAAAACAGACAGGCTCAGGAGGTGAAAAGGGATTTACAGCACTAGTTTGTATCAGCTCTTATAAGCAAATTCCACTTCATTTGTTGGTTTAACTTGTATTTCACACCAAAACTTGCTATAGCACCCAAAGCTCTGCCCTACCATGTGGTCCCGGGGCACAAATCTCATCTGTTTGCAAGGAACAGGTAAATAACAATCAGAAAACCATTAAGTACTTGTTTGTTTGAAACAGTTATTAACAAACCAACCTCCTCTTTTGAGCTTCAGAGTCTCTCCTGGCTCGTTCTAGTGCCAGTTCTTCAGCTATTCTTTTCTTCAGCTCTTCATCATTAACTGCAACCAAGAGAAAACACAATGAAATGTTACCAGAACACAACATATTCCCAATTACTGCATAACAGTGCTCAAGTTTGTTTATTTTCTGTTTTCTATTGGAATGTTTTCCTGTGGTTTAACCATACAACACCAGAGAGTGTTTAATTTACAAATGACACTTATTAAACAACTTCCCAAATAGTACAATCCTTTGAAAATTAAACAACACACAACATGTTAAATAAGTTTTCTCCAGAAATATGTCTCTGTAAAGTAAAATTGTGAGGGGTGGGCCAGAGATTTAAATAGCAAAGGCATAAAAGGCTGTTTTTTATTCCTACAGAACCAAAGGAAACATCTTTGTGTTATGAATATGAATTACTGGATACATATTTTACCCAGAAAAGCTCTTACAACATCCAAAATATCCCTATTTCTATGGAAATAGAAATAGATCATATTTCCTCTCCTTAGACAAAGATTTTGCCTGGAATTCTCCCAATTTTGTTGAAACACACAGACATGGAAAGTATTTTCTTCACTTCAGATTCTGTCAGGTGAATTAATGCAACTCTGGTTAAGAACAGAAAAAACAGGGAAGCAACTTGAAGCACATGGATAAAACTTTTCCACACAAAATCTGGAGAGTCACCAAACCCACAAGCTTGAAAGAAATCTATAAACCCACCAAAATCCATATAAATCCTAATCTGGACCTGTCTGGAATAAAGCTCTCTACAGAACAAGTATCCCAGTGACCTCATCTCCAGGAGCTCAATTTATCTCCAAACATGATCCAACATCACTGGATCCCATGGGAGTTCAGAGCCCACCATGCAATCCTACAGTAGTCTCACAACACAGGGAGTTTTATCAATGAATGAAGCAACTTCATCAACTTTATGGGAGTCTTGGCCAACTAATTCAGTTATAAACTTCTTAAGCAAAGCAAAGGAATCAATATCCATCCTGGCAGGCAGAGGAATTGCTGAGATGACAGGAACAGAGGAAGGACACTTGTGAATGGCAACTGCGACCTCCACCTAAAAACATATCAACCCAGGTGAAAATTCAGAGGTAAATCTGAAGCTTGTAACAGATCACTATCACAAACCTCAGGGAAAAAGCAAAATCCCATTTTATTGGGATCTCAACCGACACAACAGCATTAAGGATCACCAGCACCAACATCCTGAAATTTATTGGTCTGGTGTGCAAAAAAGACTACAAGAACTCTAACAGAACACAGAATGGTTTAAATAGTAATGAGGAAATATTCAGGCATCAGCCAATAAAGACATTTGACCTCAGCAATCAATGAGGTTCCACATCGATCAGCCAAATACTAATAGGGAATAAAAGTGGAGCTATAGATCATGCAATGGAATCATTGTAAGATGTAATTGGGCAGCTCCCAAATGGGAACTTCATGATGTTCCAGGGGAAAAAATTGCAGTTGTACAAGGAAGAAGGATTTGTTCCAGGGGGAAAGGCATTTCAAAATGGAAAAGCTAATTTATTTGAGAGAGGACCAGGGGAAAAAAAAAAAGACTATTTCGAGATAAAGCAGTAACATTTCATAGTTTCATAGTGTATTCAGGGGTTGGAATGGAGCTCAGAGATGATCCAGTCCCAACCCCTGCCCTGGGCAGGGACACCTCTCACCAGAGCAGGTTGCTCAAGGCTCATCCAACCTGGAATGAAACACTGCCAGGGTTGGGGCAGTCACAGCCTCCCTGGGCAACCTGGGCCAGTTTCACTCTGATGGCAATGATGGGCATTAAAACCAGGCTGCAAACCACTGGGCTGCTAGAGAATATTAGAGCCTGGGAGTGCAAGACTGCTAAAAACCATAATTCAGAGAAAACTGTAGAGCAGCTGCAAAAAACTACAGAGCCATTCCCACCACCACCTTTAATACTTTTAAGTTCTTCAGGACACCGAAATCAGTGTCAGCCTCACAGCTAAGTGCATCCCAGAGCAGACAAATTGGGAAGCTTTTCAGGCAAGCACACTGAGGGAGGTCACACCTGCATCCTACAGGAGTGTAAAACCAAGGCAGGCCCAGCCCTCCCCAGGGTGAGTGTGCTAATGCACAGCCAATTCGGAGAGATGGGCAGTAATGGCAATGACACTCACAAGCCACAGTGCCCCGGTCCGAAATAGCTCTCCTGTCCTCTTAGCACGGCAAGGGGAGAGGTGTGTGTTCAGCAGCATTCAGCCTGGGATAATGGCCATGGATCACCACCAGCTGCATGGCCAAGTGGCTCATTACCACCCTCGGGTCGAGCTGCAGGTGGCACAGGGCTCAGAGAGTGACCCAACTGCTCCACGGAGCACCACAGGCACTGAATCTCCCAGTACGGGAAAATCCACACAGCTCTTGGCTGGATCTGAGCAGACCAAGCAGGGACTGTGCAGGGAAAAGGATGTTTTGCCACTTTCACAGGCTCTGGGATGCAATAACCTGATCCTTGTCCACCTGTTTTTTAGGAACAGTCTGAAAGACACAGTAATTTCCTCCCCTTCCTGCAGAGATTCTACCTGCAAAAATAGTACAGATAAATTAACCAATTCTAGAGCCACAGAACACTCTGAGCTGGAAGGGATCCACAAGGATCATCAGTCCAACTCCCGCCCGACCCAGGACCCCCCAACAATGCACCCTGTGCTGGGAGCATTGGCCAAACACTCCTGGAGCTCTGTCAGCCATGGGGCTGTGCCCACTGCCCTGGAAGCTGTTCAGTGCCCAAGCCACATCCAACCTTCTCTTCTCCAGGCTGAGCAGCCCCAACTCTCTCAGCCTGTCCACGTAGAGAACGTGATCCAGTCTCGGCTCAGCTCCGGGGCCTCCTCTGGCCTTGCCCCAACAGTTCCATGTCCTTGTGCAGTTGGGGACACCAGAGCTGTGCAGCACTCCAGGTGGGGCAGAGCAGAGCAGAAGGGCAGTATCTCCTCCTTAGCCCTGCTGCCACACTCCTGGGGATGCAAAAAACCTTTGATTCTTTTTATCCCCCAGGTTGGTGTAAGAGTATCTATAACTCAGCAACTCTTAATATTTGTCTCCAACTCCTCTGCCCTTGCTAGTCATAAGATCCAAATCTGTCCCTTCTCCCTCTGACTCTAAAGCAGCTGCTTCACAGCAAACAAACAAGCAGCAGGATATCAAGATTACACCCAGAGCAGTAAACAACTCACATTAGGGAAGACAGACACCTGCAGCCTCCAAAATGTTAGCCTGAGAAATCAGGAACATGATATGGCTAAATGCATCAGCCTCCAGCCTGCAGGGCTTGGAATGTGCCCATTAGCCCTCATTTGCAAAAAATCATTAATGGAAGCAGCGTTTGTTCTCAGGCACCTCCACTAAATTCTCTGCAAAGGGCAGGTGCATTAAGTTATTAATGAAGAGACACTTAGGTTTGATACAATCAAAAGGCTTTCAGAAAATACTTGGCTAAAGAATACGCAGATAAAAACTATACCACAAAAAAAAAAATAAAAGAAGAAGAAAGAAAGAAGTTGTACTTCTGATTCAGATTTGCTATTAAAACACCTGTCCAGGGAACAGGAGATCCTGCAGAGAATAACTTCCCCAAGGGAGCAGAACAGTACACATGCCCTTCAGACCACATGATGATTTCAAAGAGATAAAAGATTGCTTTGATACAAAAAGGCTTCCAAGGATGGACCAGCTCAGCCTCTCTGGGCAATAGATGTCCATGTCTGACTGACCTGATGGCAAAAGAAGATTGCTTTGATACAAAAAGGCTTCCAAGGATGGACCAGCTCAGCCTCTCTGGGCAATAGATGTCCACGTCTGACTGACCTGATGACAAAAAAAGCTTTTCCCTCCAGGTCAAAGGACTCATTTGACATATATGTCTGGTTTGATGCCTCCCTGCCATGCACCACCATGAAGATACTGGTACTGTCTTCTCAATACCTTCCTAGCTGGCAAGGAACATCCAAGCCTAACAAGTCCAGGTCCCTCAGCCTCTACTCTACAGTTTCTGACCACCCTTCCTCCACCCACTGAGTGCTGCAATGCATTTGGGGCTTGTTTGGCTCATTCTGACTTGGAACGACCAAATAGATGCTCCATCCCTGGGAGTGTCCCAGGCCAGGTTGGATGGGGCTTGGAGCAACCTGGACTGGTGGGAGGTGTCCCTGCCCATGGCAGGGGGTGGAACTATCATTTTTTAAGTCCCTTCCAAGCCAAACCTTTCCATGATTCTACAGCACACAAATCAGAACACTCACTCCTCAAATCAGGGTCTGAAGGCCTTGACAAGACAACAAGCAGCTACTGTGATTCTGTTCAGCTTTAACCTCAGCACTCAGCAGAGGCTGTTAGCAAAGTGCAGTTACAAAATCAGTGGTCAATGATTGTCAGGGATTAGAAACAGGCTAAGGTAAAACACAGGTCAAAAAGCATTAGGAATGGGAAAGCTGAACAGACTTAAACTCGGCACATGAGTAGTCTAAAAACATTTTAATCAAGCCATCACAGAATTGTTGAATAGTTTGAGATGAAAGGGATTTCAAGAACCACCCAGTTCCATTCTCCAGGCATGGGCAGAGACACCTCCCACCAGTCCAGGTTGCTCCAGGTCACATCCAACCTGGCCTGGAACACTCCCAGGGATGGAGCCGCCCCAGCTGCTCTGAGCACTTTTTTTGCACCCTGTGCCAGTGCCTTAGCACTTTCACAGTAAAGAATTTCTTCCTAATATCTAATCTAAATCTGCCCTCCTTCAGCTTAAGGCCTTTCCTCCTTGTCCTATCACCACATGTCCTCATGAAAAGTCCCTCTCCAGCCTTTTCTTCCAGTCCCTTTAAGTTTAACATAAATAAAGAAGATGCAAAGAATGAGAGGAAGAAGATGAAATATTAGTTCCAAGATGATGCACCTTCACATGGCCTCCTGCCTTTCCACACAACACTGAAAGCCAAGGATAAGCTTTGCTGAGATCTAGTTTAGGTCCACCAAATCCCATGGGTGTAACATAATAATC